GCAGTAGATATATGCAAAAGCATTTCAAAAAATGAAAAAGTTACCAAAAAGGTAAAAACTTACCTGTGTCTCTGCTGCTCGCTCCCATCTGAAGATCTGAAGCTTCTCGAGCAGCCGTGCAGGAAGATGAGAGCGGGCGCACACGCAGTAGAGTTCTTTGGCAGGGAGAAGAGGAGAGACACAGTGGTGGTGAATGCATGCAGCTGGGAGCATGCACGCTTTAAGTCCCTACAGCAGGATTGGGAAGGGGGAAACCATTTGCGACTTTAATGTCACTTTAAATCTAAAAATGCATTCAAGTACCTTAAAGGAGAACTATGGGGCAAGCTTTTTTGCCTATAGTTATCCTCAGGGTCGCAGGAGGACATATAGTATACTGCAGGATATTGGCTACTATATGCTGAGAGCGCCGTAGCCAGGACAGATCCCGACAATACTGTCGAGATCCACCCAGCTGGCTGATTGACAGTGTCACTGATTGGCGGTGTGTGTTCGCTGACTTCCTGAGCAATAGAGCCAACTCAATAGCTGTTCTCAATAAAGAACACTGTGTGTGTTGTAAAGTAGTCACCGCTCGAAGCTCACTCCTGTGATGGACTACAATCTCAATACAAATTAGTAAACTAAATAGCAGATTGTAGTCCATTGCAGGAGTGAGCTTGGAGCGGTGACTACTTTACAGCACACACAGGGACCATGGGGAAGAAAAGTAGCCACTCTCCAGAAGGAAGGACAGTGTCAGCACCAATTCAGAGATGATTGGAGGATCTACAGCCGAGTGATACACAAATAAGATACTTTTTCGTAAATAGTTAAGGTATTTGAATGTATTTTTAATGTTTAACTCCTAAGTTTAGTGTCACTTTAACCTCCCTGGCGGTATGATTTTTTATTTTTTTCATGTCATTTTTCGGTCTATTTTTTTTTCGAATTATTTTCGTCTTTGCGTTTTTTCATTTTTGAATATGCCGCCGGTTCCGCCCCCCTGTGACACGTACGCTCGCAAGGGACGGAACCCGGAAGACGGCATCGGCCGCAGAACACAGCGAGGCTTGAGGGACGAGGTAAGTAAATGCTGTGCGGCATTCCCGAGTGTAGCTCGTGGTTACCGCTTATGGTATGGAAAAGTAACCCCGAGCTACACTCGGGAATACCGCCAGGGAGGTTAAGATGGCTATACACTGCACACTTTCTTTCTCAGCCCCACCCACCTCGCTGGGCTATTGTTTTCTGACAGCGGCAAGTGTGCCAATGTTAGAATACCCAATAAAGTAACTGTAACCGATTGGCTGCATTCCCTGCTTGGCCGAGAATTTTTGGATTGACGACTGACGAAATTCAGTAGAAAAATTGACTTCTGGTAAACAAAAGGGTGCCAATGGTGCCGCACGCTGGTTGAACTTTGATCAAATTTTAGCAGTGTATGACAAGCTCAAAAACCAACTCTGCCATGAAGAGAAACTGAATAAATAATGGCCACATAACAGAATCCAAAGCAATCTCAGAGAAAGCAAAAACTTTATATAAGAAGAAACACATACAAGCTCCATCTATTGGCAGGATGTCATGCGAATGGCATTCACCCAGCATATGGCTGGTTGAATGACTTATTAATCATCCCCATATACATCAGCTCCCATGAGCAGGACCCTCCCGTCCTTCCTTAATTTGTAAAGTGCTGCACAAACTGTTGGCGCTATATAAATCCATAATAATATATAGACTCCATATGTCCCTATGTGTTCAGACATATAAGCTTGCCCCCGATCAGCGATCAGGAAATGATTGACGAGGGGAAACAGCCAGGCATCTAGCATTTTCAAAATGAGGTAAAAAAAAAGTCAGTCCTTATTTTTCTCTCCTTGTAGCTTTCCTGTGTGTACAATATAAATCTATTTGTAGATGAAGGCAGACACTGCATTAGCTTGCTGTGAGTTCTACTTAGCAGCACTGTATTGTGACTGTGCTTCACTATTCCCCCTCAGTGCCAGTCTGGCAGCCTGTCCAGACTGAATAAAACCAAATTACTCTGTTTGGGGGTTTTTTCAGCAGGGATGCTGACTACACTGCCTAATATACAGAGAGCCACTAGAGGGAGAATCTACTAATCTCTTTTTAAAACACATTCATAACAATATCAAGCAGGAAGGATGTGAAACCATGAAAGTCACATTAAAAGTTACTACAATAATAAATCAATAGCTGTGGACTTATTATTACTATTATTGTTATTATTCAGGATTTATATAGTGCCAACAGTTTGCGAAGAGAGACAGTATAGTTACAATACAATTGAATACAGGGGGGTCCTGCACATGAGAGGTTACAATGAAGCACCCATTCACACTAGTCGCACACATGAACATGCGCAATTTTGCACACCACACATTGTGCGAAAAAACACATGTTGAGGTTGTTGTGCCATTACTCGCTAATGGCAGCCCAAAGATGGCAAGCAAGAAACGTATATTGTCACATGTGTTAACAAGCGGGAATACGTGACGTTTGCAACTTACACTGCTGCATGAACTTCTTTGCCACATTTGTGGAATGAATGGGCTGCCCTATGCTGATGGGCAACAAACTTGGTTTCATGTGCGCACCTGGTGTGAATGTAAGCTTAAGGGTGGGGTGAGTGATACAAAAGACAAAACAGATTTTATATATCCTTACCATCTTGTCTTGAATTATATTGTGATGGTAATGGCTTCCTTATATTGAAAAGCGCTGCGCAAACTGTTGGCGCTATATAAATCCTGTATTATGATATATATATATATATATACATACATACATACAGGGCCGCTTTGGGGGCCTGCCCGGGACCCTTACATGAGTATCGGCCGACGATGGAGGGCAAGGGACCCAGCATTGCCACTCCAGCGGCTTCGAGACAAGCTGGGGCCCCATCAGCGACGCTGCTCATCTGATGTCGGACTGGCCGGAAGTGACATCACGCCTGCGTCCAGCGCGTCACTAAGCCCTGCGTCCATCGGGTCACTAAGCCCTGCGTCCAGCGCATTACTCAGCCCTGCGTCCAGCACATCACTCAACCCTGCGTCCAGTGGGTCACTAAGCCCTGCGTCCAGCGGGTCACTAAGCCCTGCGTCCAGCGGGTCACTAAGCTCTGCTTCTAGCGCGTCACTAATCTCTGCTTGCAGCGAGTCACTAATCTTTGCTTCCAGCGCGTCACGAAGCCCTGAGTCCAGCTCGTCACGAAGCCCTGCGTCCAGCGCATCACTCAGCTCTGCGTCCAGCGCATCACTCAGCCCTGCATCCATCGGGTCGCTAATCCCTGAGTCCATCGGGTCGCTAAGCCTTGCGTCCATCGGGTCGCTAGGCCTTGCGTCCATCGGGCCACTAAGCCTTGCGTCCATCGGGTCTCTAAGCCTTCCATCCATCGGGTCGCTAATCCCTGCGTCCATCGGGTTGCTAAACCTTGCGTCCATCGGGTCGCTAAGCCCTGCGTCTATTGGGTCATCACTAATCCCTGTGTCCATCGGGTCGCTAATCCCTGTGTCCATCGGGTCGCTAATCCCTGCGTCCATTGGGTCGCTAATCCCTGCGTCCACTGTGTCGCTAAACCCTGCGTCCACTGGGTCGCTAAGCCCTGAGCCAAATTCATATACTGTTCTACATTGCTGTATAAATGTATTTTTGGGATTTGTAGTCCCCCTACAGCTGGTGCCATTGTGCTTTAGAGTGTAAGCTCCTCTGGTACAGAGACTATATATATATATAAATAAACATTATTATTATTATTTATGTATTTATTTTCAGTAAGTACACATTTTTTAATATAAAGGCAGACACTTCAATTACAGTTATATTACAATCTAAAGGGAGGGAGGGCTGAGTGATACAAAAGGCAAAACAGAGTAACACAATATAAAAAATACAACATGTAGAATGTCTTTCCACTAGGTAAACATGTATTATTGTAGTGCCTTTATTGAAAGAAAAATAAAATAAAAACAGGAATTGTTAATACATTAACAATAAAAACGTGCCCCAAATATAGAAACAGTGGCAAATGGCTGACCCAGATTATATACTGAAATGTTTTCCTCTTAACTTTTCTGATTCAGTCAATGAGTCAGAGCAGCTTTTAGTGATGGGGGTCCTGTGATTAGAAGACTATCTGGAATCTCCAGCTCCTGAGCTGATGATAGACAAAGTGTGAACTCCTCACTCCAACAAGGGTAGGCTCTCCAACCCAGGAACACCTCCCAAGCCTGGGAACTGCTAGGGGTTAAGGAATAGGGAAACTAATATTGTCCTTTTTTCTGTCTCTTTCTCAGCCAGCCTATACTGTAATCCGCTTTAGCTGGCTGTCTGTAACATTTCTATAGCAGAAGAAGGGGAGGAAAAAAAGTCAGCAACAATCTCCAGGTGGAGCACTTCACTGCCAAAAAACAGGCAGGGGCTCCCTAGTGGGGATTGGCTGAGGCTGAGCAAGACAGCAAAATTTTGTGACTCTCCAAAGCATGCTTGGCTTGGGCAGCTCAGACAGAGAGCTCTGCAGTGTTCAGCAGCAATTAGTCAGCTTCAGATCTGAGGAAGGGATCAATGATCTCTGTCCGGAGCTAAGGAATCTCTTTCTTTTTTTTTCTCCAGGGTTTCAGATGTCCTGCCTGACCCCTGCAAGTCGTCTACCCACCAGAGACATCCCACCTCTGGATTGTAATCACTGACACTTCAGATCCAGCGTCCAACCTGTTTACAACAAGGCTCTTCAAAGCTTGACTGCTCATCTCCAGGCTGACAATTAGGATTTCTTTACAGCCGGGAAGAGAGCAGAAGGAGGAGGTAGACAAGGATTAAGACCTCTCTCCCTCTCTCTCTTTTTTTTTTTAGTAGGGGGGAGTTGAACATGTCATCTTTCTTTTTTCCAGGCAATGTTTAACGTGCTGGGAGCCAGCCTGTAACTGCACTGCTGGGAAAGCGCTTGGTGAAGCGGAGGCAAAGCATCTATTGTGCGAGGAGGCGTCAGCGGAGCTTTGCATGGGATGGTGTGGATGTCCTCCTGAGTTATGAAAGCCTCCTCATTGCGGATGGTCCCCTGAGTTATGGATGTTGGTTCCCTACCTACTACAGCAGAAATCCAGGTCCTTGGAGGAACCAGTGGCCCCCAGAAGCAAGCTGTCCCCTCACCGGATTTTATCCTTCCAGTATGTTTCTTTCCATGAGGCATCTTCTGAAGCCCTCAGCCTCAGTACAATGTGGAAATGGATACTGACATACAGTGCCCCAGGCTTGTCTCACCTGCCCCGCTCATGGCTGCTCTTGTTCTTGGTCTATTCGCTGTCTGTCACCTGCCATGAGGTCGCCGGTGGTGGTGGCAATAGAGACTCACTGCGCTCCACTGACTTCTCCTCCAACTCTTCTTCTGGGAGACACGTGCGAAGCTATAACCACCTCCAAGGAGATGTGCGCTGCAGGAAACTCTTTTCCTTCCACAAATACTTCCTCAAGATCGATGACAACGGCAGGGTTAGTGGCACCAAGAAGGATGACTGCCCTTACAGTGAGTACCCATGGCTGTCTTCTTCAGGATTTGGGGTATCAGTGGTTGTTCTGCTCAGGAATAGTTTGGGGGAGTCTGTAATGATGATTTAACCATTTAGTAAACAATTTATTTATCAGGGTGTGGGGCATCAGTGGTTCTTCTGCTCAGGGATAGTTTGGGGGTGTCTGTAATCGTGATTTAACCATCTGGTAAACTATTTCTTTGTCAGAGTGTGGGGCATCAGTGGTTCTTCTGTTCAGGGATAGTTTGGGGGTGTCTGTAATGGTGATCTAACCATCTGGTTAACCATTTCTTTGTCAGAGTGTGGGGCATCAGTGGTCCTTCTGCTCAGGAATGGTTTGGAGGAGTCTGTAATGGTGATTTAACCTTATGATAAACCCTTTCCTTATCAGGGTGTGAGGTATCAGTGATCCCCCAGCTCAGGAAGAGTTTGAGGGGAAATCGAATTGTGATTTAGCTATTTGGTAAACACTTTCTTCATCAGGGAGGGGGCATTAGTGGTCCTGCAGCGCAGGAAGACTTTTGGGGAATCTGTAATGGTGATTTAACTATCTACTAGCCCTTTCTTTATCAGCAAGGGAGCATTTGTGGTCCTGCAACCGGGGAACGGTTTTAGGGAATCTGTAACATGGTTTTAACTATCTGGTAAGCCCTTTCTTTATTAGGGTGTGGGACATCATTGGTCCTTCAGATCAAGAAGGTTTTGGGGTAATCTGTAATAAAGATTTAATAATCCAGTAACACTTCAGTGTTTATCACTTGGCCAGTGCAGTAGGATATAGGACAGATAGCTCCAAAGGTCTAAGCTCCTTGTATATTACTCTGCCGTACAACCAATACATTTAGTAACTGGAGCCGCATTATTAAATCCAGAGCACAGTTAAATGGCACAAGTAGAGTGGTTGCCCCTAGCATCCTTTCAGGCTTCATCTTTTAAACAAATTGGGGGATCTGATTCAGTTCTGCTTCAGTTTTGGCAGATCTTTCATAGTTTTCAAAGTGCTACAACTCCACAAGTGGTTTTACTCTGTGTACTTTCCCTGCAAGTTCCCAATGGTAAACCATGTACATGGTGTTCCGTTGTACATTTCATATTGAAGATATGGTTAGTTTTTGTTCAAGCGTTTGCAGTGGAACTGTTCCATCAAACCTCTGTGGGTACTTTAAGGCACTGAAAGGCTTATATAACCTATAGGGGGTTAATGAGCTGTCATAACACACTGTGTCTACAGGCTCCTGGGACAGAAAGGCACCACCAGGGTCATAAAACAGGACATGCAGACCTGTGAACTTTACTGGACATCTAGTTCAGGCTTGGGGGACTTGTGGGGGTCCAGCTGTTGTGGAACTTAAAGTTCTAGCGTGTGCTGCAGACTCAGTGTTGGAACTTATAGTAATAGTTACATTATTTATTCAGTGAAAATATTTATTTGTACTATTTTATGCAGCGCTGACATATGTAGCATTTTACAGAAGACATATCCCAAAGGAGCTTTAGGTTTAACGCTCCCTCTACAGTAACACTAGAGGGAAACACACACACTCTAGGGCCATACTGCTGAAACTATTTTAACATACCAGTAAAGTTTTTGGATTGTCGGGAAATACATTGCACTCAGAAGGTCATGCAAACACAGGGAGTACATACAAACTCTATGCAATGTTTCCGGTTGAATCAAACTCAGGTGCTTGGTGGTGCAAGGGCAAAGTGTGTATAGTGTTCAGTGTTCCAGTTGGATAACCATAGGCTCCTAGTAAGTACAATATGTCTTAACGTCCATGGTGGTGCCACAACAGATGGGCAGCTAATGAAGATAATATTGCATTTTATGTCCCAGTTATGAGTAATGAGTGGATTGTATTAAACATTCCAGTGCAGTGTCTTTTAGGATTCTTCATTCATGACTTGGTGAAGAAGAGTATAATGTAGTTGCCTATAGCAGCCATTCAGAAATAGCTTTTCCTTGCTCGAAGCTGTCTGCTGCGGGTGACTGCTCATCCTATATTCCGATTATCTTATTAAAGAATGTTGTTTTGTCCTGGATTTTGCTCTCTATTATATACTGATATTTAAGTATGACAAAGCTAATGATAATATTGAAAATCTGTGCATCTGCAGAGTTTACATAGCAACTGTTATATAGCCTGGAAATCGGCTACCTAAATGATTTGGGGAAATGGGCTAACACCTTTTATGAATGATTTAGTGGCCATTTTGCTATTGAAGTGTTAATGGTGCTTGAAATAACATTTGAAGCAACCTTCAAAGCATGTGAGAAGTAGGGGTTTAGTCACATCATAAGTACTATGCTGTGTTGTAGGTGTAATAGTTATTGGTCTAGTTTGAAGTATTTGGGTGTGTGCATTTATTAATATCTTGGTGTTTAGTGAACTGAGTACTGTCTGTCGCCCTATGCCCAGTAGCTGCTGCTGTGTAACAGTCTGTCGCCCTGCCTGTCCTGCCCACTCATCAACCATCTGTCCACTTGTATAGTGGTTTGTCACTGCCGTCACCATTGAAATAGTTTTGGGAAGGACTACTTGTAAATGACCCCAAAGTGTCAAAAATAGCACTTATTCTTCCCTAAACTTAGGGGGGTAGCCACACAGACCAATAAAACAAAGTCAAGCAGAAGGTGTGGACATTGCTTGCATTCATCAGGTTGTTTGGGGTTAAGAGGCATTAATGGGTGTATTTATGCATTCAAAGATCCCTTTATTTCATTACATGCTGGAAAATATCTACATGACAGACAGCAATCATTCCCCTTTTAGTGGAGATAAGGGAACTGACTTTAAAAAGTTCTATGTGCTGCATCCTTTTGTTTTCTGAAGTCAAGAGAATATCTCAGCTGTTCCTGGGGGTGCATTAATTCAAAGAGAACCATCATATTCACTGAGGGATCAGTGTATTACAGGGGTAGGCAACCTTGGCACTCCAGCTGTGGAGGAACTACAATTTCCTTCATGCCTCTGGTAGTAATTAATGCCTGTGGCTGTCATAATCATGCAATGGCTCATATGGGACTTGTAGTTCCTCAACAGCTGGAATGCTGAGGTTGCCTACCCATGGTGTATTAAATATAGTTTTTTGGTAGTAGTTAATGCCTGTGGCTGTCATAATCTTGCAATGCCTCATGGGACTTGTAGTTCCTCAACAGCTGGAGTGCTGAGGTTGCCTACCCCTGGTGTATTAAATAGAGTTTTGTGGGGATTCATTGATTAGTACTCTTTAACTATGGAACTACTAGTGACAGCATGCCCTTACAGCTTATACTCATTATATATTAATGGGAAGGTGAGATTACAGGTGCCTGGACCACCCCTCTAGACGGGCTGATAGGGATGAGCTCAGGTTCAGATCGGGTTCAATCCCCGCTCAGGGAGAGAGTATCTATATGTGGGTTTTGTACAATTTAAAAACTTTTCCTGTCTGTAGAATTGTCTGTAGAATCTGTCTGTAGAGTCAGGCTAATATATATATTTTTTTTATATTAAAAGGTGATGTGCAAATCACATTAACCATCAGCTGCACATGTGAATGAATTGAAGAATTGTAAACTGAGATCCGCTCTGTTGCGGATGAATTTGAACATCATTTTTGCTGCCTGCGCTGCTTTGTCAAACGTGGCAAAGTGTAATTAATTAATTCCATGTATTCAATAATCCAGGGGTGGACAAATGAATATTGAATTCAGGAGCTGGTCTGTTCCGTCCAGGCGCCGGCAGGATTTTTCTAGGAGCTTCACTGACAACTAGAGAAAACCTCAGAAGTTGGGCGCCAGCTGTCATTTTTGAGGAACTTTGGCGACCTGGCTCCTGGGGTTTCTCCAGCCCTGCATTAGTCTCTAGTTCTCTGAAATGAAAGATTCTCCGGATCACATTCTGTTATTCACATTCATCTATTTACGTTTTAAATCATCTGTTTGGCTTATTTACTAAAGGAGTGATTCTAACCCCCTAGTTTATGTTTAATTTATACGGCCATCCGGCTGTGATAGATATGTCAGTGAATCTGATTTTTGCATTGAACGTGGGCTTCCCTGCAAATGGGTTGTTATTACATTCATTTCTATATATGTAAATGAGCAAACTTTGTCTTGCTTCAGATCCACACATGCATAGATCAGTGCTATCCAGGCTGAATCTGACATGTATGATGCCATCTGTCACTAGCATTACCCCACAGGTTTAGTGTTTTTTATTTTAGTATGTGTCGATTCTGCCAGTAGATCCATTATTTCACTACTTCCTGTAATAGGGTGACAACGCTGTTCGTCCTGCAGGGAAATCACAGCAGCGTTGTCTCCACATGGACAGTGTAGTCTTAGATGAACATGTAGATTTAATTGAACTTTAAGTAAATGACAGATTAAAGCCCAACACCAGCTAAAACCTTTTTAAGAAGTTACAGCAACAGTTTTCTTTCGGTATAAATGTTTGACCCAAACGACTAAAAGCTGATCATTGTATCGTGTACTGTTATATGGCTTGTCCTAACCACTTACCTGTCACTGGACAGCTTGGCTTGTTAAGTCCCTGTTCACACCTGTGCGTCTGGATTTTTAATGTGTTTTTGCCGTGCATGTTTTATGTGTTTATTTTTGTTTTGGCCAATGAAGGTAAAATAAAGGACGGGTTGAGGCCAGGGACATAAAGCGCTGTGTAAATTGTCGGCGCTATATAAACACCTGTATTAAAAATGCATCTTACATGCATTTCTTCATGCTCTCCTGTTGAAGTCTATGGGGCTAAATACGCACTATGTGGCAGCAAAAGAAGCACCCGCACCTTTCCATACCTTTCCATAGCTGTGAACGGACACCATAGAGTATAATGTGATTTGCATTGTAGTGCATTGTAGAGTGACAGCAGGCACACAACAAATTGCACTAGCGTGAACGGGGGCTGAAGGGAGTGGGAAAAATAACAGATCTATTGGCAGGATCAACAGATGTAAAACTGTTATGGGGGACTGCTATGATAATGGCATTGAC